AAAAAAAAAAAAAAAAAAACTTTTTAACGAGAATATTTGTGTGTGCAACTAATTCCAATTTCCCATGGATCATACCACAATAACAAAAACAGAAGGAGCTATATCAAAATTGTTCATGGTCCCAGATCCATTTAGTTCATTGCCTAACCTTATAATTGTAATTTAATGTCATAGTGATAATCTAACGGCTACAAACTTCGACGGAATGGTTCCGTACCGTAGCATTTCCCTAAAAAGATTCCACCTTTTAACAATTTCTCGAAACCCAGAAAGCTCAGAAGCAAGAATCAAGAAAATATCTGAATAATCAAATCACAAAACTTCAAAGATAACAAAATATAATCCTAATCAAACCAAATAAGTTTGAAGGAACAAGAATCAAGACAACTCAGGCTACAAACAGAATCAGCCCGATTCTTCAGAATAGTACAATCCGCAATATTTCAAACAATAAACAGAGGATAGCAGCAGAATTACCAGATCGGATACGGAGCACCACTAACTTGAGAAAATTCGATTAAAGGAAAGATGAAGAGAGAAAAAAAAAAAATTGTAGGATTTTAATGAACGGAGATGAAAGGAGAGGGTCCTCGTATAATATAAAGGAAACTTTTCCTTTGGTTCTAGGGATTATCGGTTACGACTCTCGTGTATTACACGGGTGTTTGTTAAAAAAATATTATTAAATTTTAAAATTACTGAAAAGATTATTTTAAATTTACTTTACCTTTTCCAAAAAAAAAATATATTATTATATATTTTAGAATGACACTTTCTAGTTGTGTGATTTAAATATGTTATATTATAGTAATTTTTATAATTTATATAATATACCTACTTGAAATATAAATATATTAATTGATGAATAATTTTTATTTTTTAATTAAAATTAAATTATAATTTTATTATCGTTATGAAGATAAATATAATTTATTTTCTCATACATACAATATGAATGTTAGATAGAATCTCATCAAGCGATAATTAATTTGATATATTATATATGTAAAACTGATAAAAAATACTAAAGTTATTGACTTTTAGACGAGTGTATTCAATTGAGATTTCAAGTGACATTTTGAGGCTTTTTTAAGATTTGAGATTTGTTAAGATTTCTAGATTTTGGAGAAATTATGTGAAATCCTAAGTCTGGATGTGGGATTTGAAGTAGGATTTCGTATAAGGTTTTTTGTTTGGAAATCTCACCAAAAGTTAAAAAGTGTCAAATAAATTAAATATTTCAAAATGTTGTAAGACTTTTTAAAATCTCAATTGAATACCCCAAGATTTTTAAAAGTCTTAACAAATCTAAATTGAATACACCATGACTTCTAAGTCTTAAAAAGTCCTTAGAAATTCTAATTGAAAACACACACCTTAAAATACATTTACAATTAATGGTTATAATAATAAATGATATTAAAATACATTTAACACATGTAACATGATCATAAATAATCAACATATTTATGGATAATCCGAGCCTAATTATTTTTGAATTGGAAGTAAATTAAAATCTACTCAAGCCTAATGACGAAACATATAATTTTGTCATATAGGATCTCGAAGAATATGAGCTTGCCACTTAAGCTCAGCACATTCTGCATTAATATATAGGGGTATAACAAAAATTTTGTTTTATTTTTTAAATATTTTTTGAAAAAAGATATTATTATTTATATTTAAAACATCCCCATCACTTACATTACTTACTATCTTATACTATATATTTCTTTTTAATTTATATCAAATAGCTACTTGGTAGTTAAGTTAGTTTGAATAATTGTATTTTTCGAATTAAGAACTCAGAAAGAGCTAACTCCTTAAGAGAGAGGGTTGAAACATGAGGGTGCAAAGGCAAGGCAAACAGACTGAGCGAGCTAGGGTGCGAGCCAAGCCATAGTACTCTATGTTAGTGGGTTGCATGAGTTGACATAGGCCAAAGTGTTGTAGCGGCATGTGTAAGGCCAACATCTATAAGGCCGGCTCTAGTGTACGAGTGTGTGTGCCTGCGTGCCCGAGAGAGTGGGTTGAACCATGTATGCGAACTGTAGGGCATTCCATTGTACGTTTGTGTAATAATAGTGTTTTGGTTGGGCATGAGTCCATAATTGTGTGTGTCACTTGTATACTTGATAGCTTCAGCGTGCGTGTTCGAGTGACGTGTTTTGCATAACCTCGGGCGATGCTTGTGTGGGCGTGTGAACGTTTGGCGGACGGTGAGAAGGCTGCCTGGTTTGTGGACAATCAGTTCGGCGGATGGTGAGAAGGCTACCTGGTTTGTGGACAATCAGCCCGCACAGAGTGGTAAGTAGGCAAAAATTTCTAGCCTAAAGCTAAGCCTTGTGACACTAGGGATAATGAAAATACGCCTCGCAATCACATTAAAGTTTAAACCTCGCAATCACATTAAAGTTTAAACCTTGTACCGTAAAGAAACATGAAGTCCTGCATAAATAATTGCATGGAGATGACAAAAGCAGCAAAATGCACATGCAGATTAAGACACAAAAACACCCATCAATTTGTCTCATTTCAAATGAAGACTCCAGTAACAATGTAAAAGTCGGGTAAAAATTCTAACCAGCCATAAACTGAAGTTTGTAATAACTATCAGTATAATAAGCTGTTACACCATAATCGAGTCCATAAATTTTAACACTCACGAATGTAAGCCGTATCTTTAGTTTGTATTTTGTAATACCATCATGACTTGACACCCATTCCCTATCGTTTGTCCAGCAATAACATCTCAGTCTATATCGAATGGTGGACCTGGAAATAATTTCTTGCCCAGTGTAAAGTATTGAAGTATAAATATGCCTATTGTCATCTATTAAAACATTCTACAAAATTCTCTCGTACATATAGATCAGAGTGAAAAGAACCCACTGTGCTTCCCGCCTCAAAAATCTCTCGGGTTGTGTATCTTTTCTTTTTTTCTATCTTCGCCGTTTTGATTCTTTCCGCATTTCAGCTAGGTAAGTCTCCAAGTTGGGCTTTTCCCATAGGCGTCTTTGAACAAGACCGTCCTTTGTTGATTCATCTGACAGGCACAATAAATTTAATGAGATGAAAGAAAATTATGCAGTGCTAGAAAATATTAGGATGAATAAAAAAAAAATGCAACTAAATTAAATTTCCCCAAGTGTTAATACTTAGATACCAACAAAGTATATTGCTTAGATCGCAATCACGTATACATTGCTCCTCGAAATAGACCTAAGCGTTCTTTGCAATTTGAATTTGCAAACTGAACTTTTCTATGTAAACTATATATTCTTGGAAAGCAATTCTTTCGTGCAATAGATAGATGAATATATACAAAAATTCAAAATTTATTAAACACCAAATCCTGGTACCAAGGCCAATGTGACCTGATGTGGATTAGTAGGGCTATAAACAAATCTCGAGGCTCGCGAGCGCTCGAGTCAAAGCTCAACTCGAGCTCGAGAACTTCAAACCGGGCCTTATATTTTACATGTTCGAGCACTCGATGTGCCGATCAAGTATAAGTGCGATTTACCTAAATACCTCTAATTCGAGTGAAATTCATTTCAAAATCAAGCTAAACTTGAGAAAAAAATATTATTCAAATAGTTGCTTTTACAGAAAATTTGAGCAGAACGCGAGTAAAAATCGATCAGATGGAAATTCAAGCCGATCTTGAGCATTTGTATATTTTTGTCAAGTCAACCCAAGCCTTAAGAAAACCCGGCTCACAGTGACTCAATTTTGGCTTGATAAGGCAATTGCTCAACTCGGCTCTTTTGCAGCCTTAGTGTGGACATTGTAATTACCTATGTAACTCCACGAATCTAAGGGTACGCCCAGGGATCTTCTTGTTAGATAGGAGGCATCTTGCCACGAATATGGTGCTTTTTTCACCTGGTATCGCCACAACCAACAAAGGTTCCACAATAACAGCTGTAGATAAAGCTGATCAGTAAATAGGTTCGATAATTTTTTAACTCTAAGTTACAGTTTATCTCTCCATGCAAAACACAAAAGAAAAGGGTAGGAAGTGGGGACAGCCAGTAGAAACCAATGGCTTTCTTATTACATTTGAAAAGAAAAATACTGCTATACTGACCTTTACAAGAGTGTAAGGCAGCAAGATGAAACGAATGCCAACAAGTTCCCAAACAGATGGCTTTTCTGCTCCCTTTATCTGCAGTTCAAGTTCCTTGCCAAAGTCTTCCTCCACTTTCCTATCCGAAAATAGAACTCCTGAGATTTTAACTTTCGAAATACTAATACTAGGTGTACAGATTTTTTTTGGGAAATATTAATGTCGTAAAACAAGAGAGAGAGAGAGAGAGAGAGAGAGAGAGAGAGAGAGAGAGAGAGAGAGAGAGAGAGAGAAAAGTGGACAAAAGTTTGCGGAGGTAGGACGAAGTATCTTTGACATTGTGAATGAATATAAGGTAAAAATAAAAGTATTATAGTTGATGTGATGGAAATAGTGAAATATTGATTGACAATGATTGTACATAGAAATATATTAGTGGGCGAAAAGTTTTCTGTTGAGAAATATGTAGTAATGACTTACTTTTATTTTAAACTTGTATTGATGGGATTGGGGAGAAAAAATCACATAAAATAAATAGTATATTTTCGGAAAGTATTTTGTATCCAATCACAATTTAATAAAAAAAATTGTCCGGCGAGACAAAAAAAATAAAAAATAAAAAAAAATAAAAAAATGTTGTCCCTGTAAGATACAATTTACATAGAATTGACTAGTAAATATATATATGAAGGTCATACTTATTTATCTGCTTGTTCCCCTTTCTCTTATTTGTTGTCCCACCAGTGCGTTCAAGCTCCAACGCCTTTAGCTTGTTCTTGTAAGCAGGAGTCTTTTTTACCATATCTATAGCCTGGAAAATAGAATCAGTTGAAAAGTAAGAATGGGAAGTTTGAACAACCGCAGCTCATGATTGTTAACTCCAGCAAAGCTATCTTTAATCAAAATGATAATCCTTGTTAAGTTACATATAGCATCTCCTTTTACCTGATTATACCTTGTCCACTGGTTCAGATACTGAAATCCTGAAAGCACCAAAAGAAGACCCACAAGGACAGCACGAGTATCCTAGTAAAGGATATGGTCAATATCCAGTAAGGTCAGATGTTCAGCATTACAGATAAAGGTGGTAAAGATTTGAGTGATTGTGGTATTTTCAATAGTAAGGGATGAACATAAATAGTGGGAAGAAAAAGAAATCTTACAGTCTTGTGGCCATAGTAAGCATGATAGTACCTTGCTGTGTTGTACAATACCTAAAAAGGGACAGCGTTTTAGAAACGGGTTACCTCTCGTTGCAAGTTGATTAGATTTCACGAAAAGAAAAATCAAAGCAAAATAGTTGACATGAATGAAAAATCAATTAAACAATAGCAAAGTTGAAAAAAATAGAAAATAGAGATAAGTTCTTCCAGATACTTTTGGCATCAATTGCATAATACAGCGAACGAAAATGCGAGTCTTCATTTAGTTCTAATGATGCAACTCTGTACAAGTCATATGGGAAACACGACGACATATATAATAATGCATATAAAACAATGTTGTTATTTGTGAAGGATCGAGTGCTAATTGCCAGGTAAAACATCATTATGCAATACTACTTAATGATTACTGATCAGAGCATTGTAGAAAACAAAGTGCAGATCCACAAATAAAATTAAAAAGGAATTCGACAAAACGATAATAATATGAAATCTTTAATCAATAACTCCTTAGTTTATATATGTTACACTAGAATGATGATAATGCAGATCGATTTGGCTCTACCTTTCTCCTCCAATTAAACTTTACTCAACAACTATGGCTTCACCAATAAACACAATTCACAGTGGCAGCATAATAGGATGAAAAATACAATCCCCTATAAAGTTTTTTGCATTTTTTCACATAATGCTGAAATAAGCATCCAATTAACAGACCTCTTCCGGATGTGCGATTGCATAATCATACTGCTCCCTTGTGGCTTCATCTTTCAAAATCTGAATATTTTCGAACCAAAAGTCAGTCGGTGGCAACAAAATATCTCTTGTATCAATTTAAAATCCAATGCCATAGGAATAACAGTATAACAAGAAAAGTACTAAATTTTATGAGATCCACCTGAAATCCAACCAAGTCACATATTATAAGGACCAATTTTACTCTTTCGCAAGTGTATCATCCAGTCCATGTCGAAGACTTGACATAACCAAAGCTTAAATGAATTAATTGAAACCTCAATTCGCTCAATCACCATAGCTTCAAGTGCACGAGCAACACATTGAGACGCAGTTCGACTAAAAACAGTACCATAAAAACCGATGCATACACAAAAAATATCTAATTTACAGAAAAATTAGCTAGAAAGATTTCTCAATGAAATCCAAATCCACTTGGAACAAAACAAGAAAAAAGGGCGAATGTACCTCGTACGCATTAGCAATCTTCACGAACAGCTTCTTCGATTCTGGATCAGGATTTTTGTCCGGATGACTACGTGAGATAGATAAAACCAGAAACAAGAATTTAGTGACTAAAAATGCATAGGATTCAAAAAAATAAACCCATAAATCCAATACAACAAACGGAAACGGGCCTTACTGTTTAAGCGATAGCTTGTAGTAAGCTTTCTTAATCTCGGAGGCATTGGCACTTTGGGAAACCCTGAGAATTAACATTTACGGACACAATTGATGAATAAATTGGGAAAGTTGGGTGCAATGAGCCAGGAAAAACGGCAATGTCTGCGTACCCTAAGAGATCGTAACAGTCGTCCTCGTCGCAGTAGATCGACATGGACGGCTGAATGAGTAGCGTGACCAGGAGAAACAATATGGGGGCGAAACACCGGATCGCAGCTACTGGCTCCATCGGCGGCGATAATTTTCCGGTGAATCGCCACAAGAAATTGTGGAGCTTTGACCTGTTTAAGATAGCTGACGTTTGTAACTTTGTATAGTTCGAGTATGTGAAATTGCTACTTTTCACTGGATAGGCATAGGTGGCAAGGGTCGGCCCGGCCGGTCGAGTCGGAAGTCTTGGAATCAAACCCGTGGTAAAATCGGGCTGGTTTCAAGTTCAGAAGACGGGTAAAAATTGTTTTTTATTTTTTTATTAAAATTAAATCGTCCGGTATTGAACTGGTCCTTAGATGTAGCCCGGTTGGTTCTGAGTTCAGTTTTTTAGGCCCAACGACCCACCGGGCCGGGCCGGATCGTGAATCGGCTCAATTGATGGCCATGTCTATGTATAGGTGATCGCAATTTGCAATAATAAAACTAGCAAACAGTAATAAGGTGTTCGATATAGAACAAATTTATTTATTGTGATTATGATTGAAAACAATTTTTTTAATTTAATATTTAATTTTTTCAAATATTCTAAAATAATTCAAAAAATTCAAATCAATTTATAGGAGAGATATAAAATAATACTATTCCTACAATGACTTTTTCTAAATACTAACCATATTTATATTTTACTAGTGTTGTTATATTATATCAATTTTATTTTTAGTGTATAATTTTACTTCATTCACATTTTATACAATGTTGTTACTTCTATGTTTTTGTTCCATTTTTACTAATTTAGCACTCAAAAACAGCTCAGGAGATCGATCTAAGCAGGTAGCTCAATTAGGCCAGACAAGAGAGCTCTCGTACATACAGAATTAAAATGTTTGGTTGCATAGCTCATATATGGCCTTAAAGTACTGGGCTACCAGAAAAGACACGACCTAAAGGTGCTGACCTCCAAGAGCCCGACAAAGTAACCGACCTCGAGGTATCGAGGTTGAGTGGTTTGAGAACAAGTTAGACCTAAGGAGGAGGTCGGGCTAGACCTGGAGACAAGGTTAGGTACGTCATTGGAAGGGCAACAACAGACAAGTCAGGAGGTTGGACTCACGACAGTTTGAACAATTTTTGAATTTTTGACTTGAGGGTCGGAGAGTTTTCCACCGGAATATCTCCCGACGTATTACGGGTCATCAGAGCTAAAGAATGAGGATCGTACAATACATAGGTGTTCCGATCCTTTCGTACGTAAGCGACGTAACAAATTGGCTCCGTCTATGGGAATGTCACAGTCTTTTACTGGCTATAAGAGGTTGATGGTATTTTCACAACCCGAACATTCAGAAGGCAATTCGAAAAACACAAAAGAAGCCATGAAGGCGACATCTTCAACAGTAGCCTCAAAGGGCAAAGAAGTTCAAGTAATAATCAATGGTCCCCCAAAGCAAGAAATTCACATCAACGGTGAAAAATGTTGTGACCCGAAGCTACTCTAAGCTTCGAACCAAAATATGTTGCAGGTGTTTCGGTCACTCACAACGATGTTTTTGTCATAACCGTAGAAATCGAGAGCTTCGTAGAACCAAGGGTCATGGTGGACACGGGCAACTCGGTCGATGTTATCTTCTTCCGTTGTTTGGAGCGAATGGGCTTACATGAGAAAGTGGAGCCAATTGATACAACCCTCTATGATTTTAATGGAGGTGAGGTCAAGCCAATTGGCGAGGTATGCTTAACGGTCGAACTAGGACAGTTACCTATGAAGGCAGGAAGGTTGATCAGATTCATGGTGATGGACGCAATCTCAGTTTACAACGTTATCCTAGGGCGAAGCGTTAGCAAAGGCAGCCTAAGGACATCCATGGGATGGGTCGCAATATGGTGACTTCAATGGCAGGTCAAATACTTGGTTTAACTTTGGTGATATGCTTGAAGTAACTTTGGTGATATGCTTGGTTTAATCTTGGTGGTAGGCTAGGTGTAACTTTAGTGATATGCTTGTACTAATTTGGGTGATATGCTGAGTTTAATTTCAGCAATATACTTGGTTGAAATTTGGTTAAGCTTTATATATACTTGGTGAAATCTTCGTAAATTGAAGAGCAAAAGATGAATATATACACAAAAGAACTATGGCAAGACATTCTGAGAAAAATACCACGACATGATAAAAATAAGCATTCATACATGGTTCGAGCAAAAAACATATACACCATGGTTTTGGGATATTATCACAACATTTAGGCAGGAGGAGGAGCAGAGTCGGCATAAGGGTTGTAAACGAGTCGAATCAAAACGAAATACTAAGATATTCAATTCAGATTCATTAAACTATTCGAGGATTTGAATTTGTATTCGATTTGTAAACGAACTTATTTTTTATTCGTATTCGATTCATTTCAAATATATTTGATTTGATTCAAAATTTGTTTTCACAAAAAATATTATAATTAAAAAAAAGTTTACAAGTACAAAAATATTATTTTTTTTCCTATCTAATTTGAGATGTTTTTCAGGGAAAATTGTTAATTATTTTTATACCATAAAAATATTAGGAATATTTCAATATATATATATATATATATATATATATATTAAACAAACTTTACACTATATATAATTTATAAGATTTATATAATTATCGTTAACGAATCAAATATTTGATAATTTCAAATCGAATATCTGCAAATTCTAATTCTAATTCATTTAACTTTTGAATATAATACATTAGTTGTATTCAAATTCAAATCACGAATATCGAATCAAATAAAAGAAGTTGATTTGTTTACAAGTCTAGTCGGCAGTGGAAGGGTAAGCTTGGTCACCCACAGAGGTCGACGTCCCAGCAGGCTCGGTCTATGGAGTGGCCTCGTCGGTAATTACTTGAGCTCCCCCAGGAGTGACCTGGATAAGTGACTGAGTCGATATCGATATAAACGGAGGAGCAAGGCTCTTCTCGAGGCCAGCTCTGATCAGACACTTGGCAAATGTTTCATTCCACCATATATGATTATGAGGGAGTGTGGGGTCGCCCTCAAAACCAATAAAACAATTAGGTAGCTTCTTGAAAAGGGAAACTAGAATAGTACAAACGGGCAGTCAGATTAGCTCACGCGCCTGTAGATGGGGTTGCCCACGTTCCCATCTTAGGCAACACACATGTAAAAGGGAGTGAGGTATACCTTAAGCACCATTACATTCTCTATTATAGACTTTGATTCATCAGCACTTTATCTTCTACACATATCCATTTAAGTATCGGAGGCTCTTCATCGGACAATTCTTTCGCTTTGAGCTGCAAATTCAAGAACTTTCAACTGGCAGACGAGCTAGAGATCCAACCCTTTTCAGCCGTTCGGAAGTCGATTGATACCAGATTTAATATCTTGTTCCCAAGAAAGAGGAGTTCCTTAAGACTCAAATCCTACTGAAATCATTTTTAGATATACATAAATTAGGTCGAGTTTCGTTTACATAAGCAACAATATCTTACAATTTTAATCAATTTTTTAGCAAGTTTAATCTCATAATCCGAGTCAAATCATGGTCATATTAAACCAATTTTGGATGCTACACCAAAAGTCAAAAAGATGATATGATCCGGAATTGGGTGAATCCCAACCCAAATCACGCGCATACGTAATTTTGTGGTTGAAATTAACTTAAACAAAAAGATTCTTAAGCAAAAGATTATTAGGTCTCATGAAAGTAGAATAAGCTTAATCATGCACTAAGTTCCAAAAAATATATAATAACAATCTCATTCATAAAATCTAAAAATCCAAATGTGTAAAAGAAAAGGTAAAGACATCTCTAAAATGTGATCACTACACAATCACCAAAGATACGACTTTTCTTCTATGTCCCGACTAATCTGTTGGTCGACCGGTTCGCACACTTGACAGTGGTGGGTGAGTCTCACAACAAAGGTTTCCTACATCCACAAGGACTCGAACTCGAGACCTTACTTAAACGACATCAATCTGCTTACTACTTGAGCCAACTCATGTTGGTAAAGATACCACGTTTTTGAACCTCCACATCCCAATTGCAACATATGGTAAAAAAAAAAATAATAATAATAATTGTTCCACTTTAAAATCATTACAAAAAATGGACAAACATTGTATTCTTAATTTCTTCTTTTGGTTAGTGATCTCAGTATCAGCCGCGTGTTCCTCTCATAAGCATAGATTCTTTTTCGCTCTCAATCCTATCTTCTCCTCCTTTCTACAAAACATACATTTTTTTTCTTTTTGTGTATATATATATTACATGTTATACTTTCTTCTTTCAAACACCATTATTAGGTTTGTGACCTTCCTCATATGTTTCCTTCCAAGTTTTCAATTAATAAACATTCTTTTTGGTCCTTATTTTTATATACTTTGGTGCACCATATATATGTAACAAAGTAAACATAAAATTCTTCTATTATTGTCTATTTTTATTTTGCAGAATGTCAACATGGAAAGATCATCTGAACCTCCACTAGAAACATCTTACAAGAGTCTCCTCAATCTCTCGAAAACCGATAAGAAACAAGGTTATTCGGTCGAGCTCCCAATTGTCGAGGAATATTCTGCATTGCCGTTGATCGACCTTAGCCAGCTGGACCTTGGAGATTCTAAGAGAAAAGCGTGCGCGAATCTAATTGCCAAAGCTTCTCGAGAATGGGGATTTTTCCAAGTAGTGAATCACGGAATTCCGCGCGATTTATTAGAGATGATGAGGTTCGAACAAGTGAAGCTATTTAGGAAGCCGTTCGAAGAGAAGAAATCGTGCACGGATTTGAGTTTCTCCGCCGGGAGTTACAGGTGGGGTTCGCCGAGTGCTACAATGGTCGAGCAGCTTTCGTGGTCCGAAGCTTTTCATGTACCGTTTAGCGATGTGTTGGATTCGGGTCGACACGACAGCCTCAGGTATATAATAATATGTGATTATTAATTCATGTTTAATATTTTAGGTTATTAATTTGGAATTTTTTTTTCTTTTTTGGCTCACATTCATGAATTTTTTTCACTAAGAATAATTGTTCATGAAGATGATGGAAGTAGTAGTGTGACTTTCTAGGATTGCAGAATCTGCAGTATTAATAAACCCAACAGTTAGGTGTTTAAATCATTGTTTTGTTTGTTTTATTCTTCTGAGTAGTTGCTCGATTCTCCCGTATGGGACTGTTTCAATTATCTCGTATGGGACTGTTTCGATTCTCCCGTATGGGACTATTTCGATTCTATTGTATGGTACTGTTTAGTTTCTCTGTTTGTGGCTGCGTTAGTGTAGATCTCTAGGCTATCATTGTGTATGTCTCCCTTAGATTCAGTTGGATGACTGTTTGGCTATTCCTAGTTGTATCTAGGTTTGTAATTATGTGTTTCTATTAGTTCTAATCTATCGTTTCGGGGGGGAAAAAAAAAGATCATTGGTTTTGTGACCCGGACCGACCCGACCCGGACCAACCCGTACTCGAAATTGGTCCGAGTGGGCTATTTGGACCGGGTAACTATGGACCCGGTCAAACTCGGTCAAAACACGACCAACCCGGCTGGGTCAACCCAGCTGACCCGGTCTCTATAAACTTTTTATTTTTTTTATATTTTTTTTATATAAAAGATAAAAACTATGTTTATATAATGACATAGTAAATATTTATTGTGAGATTCAATATTATTAACACTTGAATGTACAAATTTTGTGAATAAAACATTTATTTTTGTTACTTTTATGTATATTTATATGTCAAAATACTATAAATATAATCTTAAAAATTTTAAATTTAATTATTCGGTTCAACAATTGACCCGATGACCCGGCGGTTGGACCGGTGACCTGCCCGGGTCAATTTTCAGGTGGGTTTAAAAACTCTGGTTTAAATAATGTGAATAATTCCAAATAACAAACTATTTTTTATGAAAAGCTTCATTAAAGTAAGGTGTAACCAAATTCATATCTAACATTTTTCTTTAGAAAAAAAAAAATCTATTCATTTCATATCTCAATTTTTTTATTTTTTTTTAGAACAAATCTATTCTGCCTTTCACATGCCAAATTAACAACCTCAATGTTTTTAACGTTGTCAACTAGTAATTCTATTTTCTCTCAAATAAAATGCTGGAGTTGGTCTTGTGCATAAAAATAATTGTCCCAACTAATAGATCTAATGGTTAGACGATCATAATTTTTTAACATATAAAAATATTTTTATATTGAAATATTATACTATAAAAACCATAAAAATGACAAGAATAAACATTTTTGTTAAAAAAACAAAAAAAAATATATATATATAACATGTCGAATTAATGCACAATTAAGTAGCCGTTATGTGCACTTGATTTTTTATTTTATTTTTCTTTTTAATAGTGCATGTTTGGATATAAAAATATAGTGTTGCTGGATTTGTTGGTTTGATTTGGTTAATTTTGAAAAAAAAAATTGATATAGTTAGTTGTTAGTTGACATATTGAAATAATATTTAAAATAAAATAATTAAAATTGATTTGATTTAAAGGTAGGAGGTAAATGATTTGAAATGATTGTTAGTAAAAATAATTAGAGTGAATGAAGAGTGAAGTTAGGTTAATATGGTGTGTAAGGATGATTGATTAATACAGTATTATTTAATTATATTGATAATATTGATGATAGTGTAGTAGAGATGACCAGTCAACGGGTTGGGCCGACGGGGCTCCCATGGGTGACTTTTGACCGGCTCGCCAAAAACCAAGGGTCGGGCCTGTGAACCGACCCTGGCCCTGTCTTGGCCCAATACCGAACCGAATCCCGGCCTATCGTGACCAAAAATAGAAAAACCGGACCTAGAAATGACCCCTAAAGCTACGGCAACGGTTCTCGAAAACGGCAACGGTTCTCAAAAACAGCAACCTAGGGGCCAGTTGCGGGCTGGGCCGGGGCCGGGTCGGCCTGTGGCCATGTCTATAGTGTAGCCAGCTTGGGTTCACATAAAAAAAACTGATTTAAATTAAAAGATTGGAATTTTTTTGAAATTTTTTGTATGCAAACGTACCAGCAGTAGCCAGCTTGGGTTCACATATATTTGATGTGATACGAATCTTTTCGCATTTAACAATACTTTACATAGTGAATAGCTTCTGTGAATCTCAATGCAAAATTGTCGGGAACAAAATACAATGCCCAAAGGGCATTCTTATTTTTGCTCCTAGTTTGGGGACAGCTTGTGTAAAGCCCTGCATGTACGGACGTATGCATTAACCAAGTTACAACGATGTTGTTATAAAATCAACTGGTTGTTATAAAATCCATGTGGGACAGTTTCATATGGAGTAAAATTATTGGGTGTTGGTTTTATAAAAGAACCAATCAGTTGGTTTTATAGCAACATTTATCATTTTGATAGTACTTTTTCTACTATAGTTAATATATATATATTTACTACTCCCTCCATTTTGAGGTTTTTAAGGTTTTTGCACAAATATTAAGGAGACATTAATTAATAAGTAAATTGACTAAACTAATCTTATTTATTGAAAATCAATATGTATTTATTGTTATGGTTGCAGCTATAAATGAGGGTATATTTGGCAGAAAATAGAATAATTTGTCTTTGGTTTTGATGTGCGCCTTATATTTCAAAAAATTTGAGAATTCCTTATATGCCTTATATTTCAAAATGGAGGGAGTAATTAGTAATTACTAAATTACAATAGTCTTACTTTGATTTTTTTAGCTCGACGATGAAGAAATTTGCCTTCGCTGTGTCAGAATTAGCACACACACTGGCGGACATATTAGCTGAGGAAATTGGTCGCAGGACAAGATTTTTTAAAGAAACGTGTGTATCTAGCTCGTGCTACGTTCGACTGAACAGATATCTGCCATGTCCAATACACCCTCACATGTTCGGGATAATGCCTCATACCGACAGCTCTTTTCTCACGGTATTACACCAGGATAAAATCGGAGGACTGCAATTAGTGAAAGACGAGAAGTGGATTGCGGTTAAACCCAATTCCAAGGCCTTGGTTATAAATATCGGAGATTTGTTTCAGGTACACGACGTTTATGAACTAACAAAGTTTATAATGTGAGACTGTCTGATGGTGAGACTGGTCATTATGATGCTTTTAAGCAAAAAAGTTACTTCAATTAATTATTAGAAAGAAAAAGGCAACTCTCTTATGTTCTTAATTTGAATAATTTCCCGATCTAATTAGGCATGGAGCAATGGCTTTTACAAGAGTGTGGAGCATAGGGTTGTGGTGAACCCGGTGAACGAGAGGTTTTCGACTGCTTACTTCTTTTGCCCGTCTCACGACACGATCATACAAAGTGAAGTTGAGCCGAGTATATATCGAGGTTTTAGCTTCGGGGAGTTCATGAAACAGGTGCAAGAGGATGTTCAAATACATGGTCACAAAGTAGGGCTTTCAAGGTTCCTTGCATCAACTAATCAGGAAGCTCATCCTTGAGAGCTTTAAATTGGGGAATGAGATTTTCTACTCTACTTGTATGTTCCATTTCGTGTTTCATTCCATTGGATTAATGACACGTGTAAATGATTATGTCATACGTGTACGTTTGTCATTTATGCGAACATGAAATGGAGCAAGAAATCTAAACCCTTAAATTATAGGGTTAATTGCTAAATAAACTTTAACCTTTTCGCGTTTGGCAATTATATCCCAATCTTTAGGTAATTGCAATATAATCTCGACCTCAATTTACTTATTGCAAGTCAAACCTAAAACCGGTTGGACCTTAAAAAAACTGGTCGATTTGAAGGCAGTTCGAATAGATCAGAGCTCATATTTACCAGTTCACTCCAGATCTAGGAGGAGACTCATTACAGGTAGCTTACATTGACGTGGAATTTTTGGCTTTGTGCGCGTGGATATACATTAAATACGTGGAAATTGTCAACTTGTTACGTGAATGGCATAAAAACCCGTGTTCATGGATGACTTGGACACAAAATCGATCCACAAATTCCTAAAATCAATCACTCTGCACCAAAATTTGCAACAAGTAAATTGAGGTCGAGATTATATTGCAATTACCCAAAAATTGGGATAAAATTGTCAAACGCAAAAAGGTTAAAGTTTATTTAGCAATTAACCCTAAATTATAAGTGGCATGATAATTATAACTCTATGACTAGTATTAGTTGGGATAGTAAGCAGAATGCCCTTTATTTCATTTTCTCTAAAGGAAAAAAATATTTTAAACTCCTAATCTCGAAATTATTTCA